ACAAGCATGACTTAAAAAAATGATCTTAATACTGCAATGTCTTTTAGGAAAAAATACAAATAAAATATATTGGAAACAAGAGTGGTAAGTATAAAACATTGGATAATAAGAACAAAATAAAAAACAAAGAGTAAACGTGTCAAAATACAAACAAAAAAAGTCATTTTACATGGTCATCTCACAGTAACATCAAAACATACCAGTAATCAACAGTTGATCCAACCCTGAGCCAAATACATGTCTATGTTGTATATTAATGACTTTCTGTGTGGCTACTTTATGTGCCATGTTCTTCAGTGTAAAACAGTCTACTTAAATTACTGATTTCCGAAGGAATTTACGGCAGATCAAATGAAAGTAACAAAGTGCCTGAATCACTGCCATAGTTCATCAGCAATATTTACAACCGGAAATAGCATGTGACTCTTTAACAAATCCAAAATCAAAATAGGTGCCATGCCTACAATACAACCCCACTGGATCTGTAAAATGTTAAAATCATGTGTCAACCCAGTTTCAGACACAAGATTTAAATGTGGCCATATAAGTATCTGTTTATCTATTCACAAACATGAGAGCAATGTACACTAATGGTACTTTTCATTCTTAATGACTAAACAAATTGCTGACCTGACTTGGTTTCCAACCAACAGTTTAAAGCTGATTGACTTGAGGAAACACAACACTTGTATGGCCCTACTATGTGTTTATATAAATATGTCAATCTCTTGTAACAAGCTTCAAATTACTTGATCCAATAAAGATTCCTAAGACAGCTCTGCTGGTCCAATCCTCACACATTCAAAATCAGTGTATTCAGTTAAATCTAGGAAGTCAACAGGTGGGACTAAACATGAAGGTCTAGTTGAAATCATCTAGAATCTTGGACTTGGCATGTTTTAAGCCCTTCGCGCCGGGCCGCAGGTAAAAAACGCCGTAAAAATTGAGATCCTCAGCCCGCTTTTCAGCTATTATTCTTGGCCCATGCTCGAGTGAACAGGGTGAAAGAAGGCAGACCCTGGCTCTTGTATATATGGTAATTGGTGCGTAGCCCAGAAATGAAAAGACCCAATTTGCATCATAATCACCAGCTTCACAATAGTCCCCACTTTGAAAAGAGGCAACGGGAATGTGGAATTGTGAGTAGAGCCGCATGCCACCCAACTATCAGCCTTTTCACCGTGTAATTCAAAGCGTGCAGAGCACGCAGGGCAACAATCTGAGAATTTTTGGTTTGGCAGGTGGCCTTCGTGGCCAAGCGAAGCTGGAATTCTTGGAGTCAGCTTTCCGAAAGAAATTCCCGTCGTCAAGGGGTTACACAACAATATAAACACCCATCTGAGGACAGGACCGATCAACGTGAGGACTCCAAGCCCAAGCATAGAATAAGCACAAACCTGTGATAGATGCCCAATGGCTGAGAATGGCTGAACTGATATCCTGCCGTCCAACATGACTATACAAAGTCAGATGGGTCACCATAAACATTAGCACAGTCTCCCATACTTCATGAATCTGCTTCCAGATGTCTGAATCTAACAAAGTTGAAAACAAATTATGAAATTGAATGTAGCTTGTTTTGTTATCGCACCTGGATTAGGGTTTGGGTTAGCATGTGCAACAAAAGCATAGATTTTTGAATATGATGTGAAATATGTCTTTCAAGCCAATCATACGCATTTGAGATACTGCCTGTGAATATGAAAAAAGAAACAACAAAACAAAAGCACCATTGATGCAACCAAGATTAGAGTAAGGAGCCTATTTTTCTGGAGACCCTACAATTATCCTGGAAATAGTTCGAAATTATGAGCTACTACAACTCTGATGGATGGAAAATAATGGAAGAATATAATCACTATTTGAAAGTTCAAAAACCAGTATTCATGAAACTAGTGGGTATGAAGTTGCATTGTCAGTATCCCCTTCAAATAATATAACTGATTTAATGATCCTAGCAGTGAGGTTGAGAGGTTTCTTTTAATTTACACATATGACTGGTGGTTTGAACTCAAGCCCACAATATGCACCTTCAAATTATTCCTGGTATTTGGATTGCTTGACTCGACCTATCATTTCCCGAAACCAGAAATTCATTTCCATGCAATCAACACTCCCTACTTCCAAAGCAGAACAAAACTCCTCCAATCAATTCTGTAACTCTAGAATGTTAATTACAAGCTCCATATATTGAAATGTGACACCGCAGTCTCCAAACTCTTCTATTTGACCTTCCTCAGCTTTCATTTGTCTGTTCTGCTCAAGCAGACATCACTCCGGCTATTTCCTATTTATTCCCCTTGAAACTTGAGATTCATCAATCAATTTTCTGGCATTTGGCAAAGAGTTGCAACCAAAGGAAGTGCTGGTCTGGATGCGAAATGAGTTACTCGAACCACACACCACACTTTGGTAAATAAGACACAGTGTTTGCTTACAGCTGGGGTAAAATATTTACACTTGTTTCCTCTATTTCCTCTAGTTGCTGTGCAATGACTACAAAAGCCAGGATGGCTTCAATTACTGACATCTCAGGGACTTAATGTGCAAACACTAAGCAATAAAAACAGTTTCAGAGTTTTGCTGAGGAGCAAATCCAACCTTCAAAAGGCGAACAAAATAGCATGCCTATGATTTGTAAATGTAAGAAGATAACTGGTTTAAAACGTAATGCAATTTCTTTGCTGTAGAGTTTTGATATGAAGAGAGTGCCTGTAAATGGTGAAAGTGAGCCTAGACCTTTGTAAAGTGAAGGACCATTAATGTTCCCGCTTTCAAATACTTTCCGCTTGGCTCAGTGATCTGGGTGCTTGTCCAACCAAAAGCAATTCATCCATCATATCTCACATCACCTTACACAGATGCACACATTCAACCAATTTTTTCTCATAGTTTTTACACAGGTGACACACAAATGACATGGTTTGGCAAACACATGTTTAGTTTTGCTTGTTTTGTAACAGTAGGCTACTGAATAAAGGAATCTTAATAAGGAAACAAAGACATACGCCATCAGACTTACATCAGCTACATGTAAATAACCCCCTCAAAAAGTAAAGACAGAGAGAGGGTTAGGACTGGTTATATTGATCATTACACTTGCCAATTAGGCTTTGTGAAGTAAACAGGTTCATATTTCAGGGGTAAGGTTTTATCTCTGATCAGTGCTTCCACAGTATCTATAAACCCTTCAAGTTTAGCATGTAATTCCCCTTCAATGCAGATAACCACACTGACAGCTGTATACTTTGCCATCAACTAGGCTAATCAGTCTCGATTCAGATTTCAGTTTTGATAATCTCCCCTTCCAATTTGTAAAATTGGAAATCGTGATGTATGAAACACCTGGGGCTATATGGCAAAGCTGAACATGCAGTCAAGCTGTACTACCAATGCTCCCTTGTGACCTGAACAAATAAACAGTAACTGCTTAGCATTTCAAACTTCCATTCTTAGTCAACCTTTCACTATACTACTGACCAAAAAGTGTGTGTGTCACAAGCCAGATAGCAAGAAATCTTCAATTAATATGAGTGAAGTGATGTGATACACACTCACCACTACCTAATAAAACAATTTTTTTTGCCTTGATATTTATGCAAAAATAGGGGAAAAGGCAAATGTGTTTGAATACCAATGTCAAAATGTTTGTCCATTTATGAACTGATTTGACCAAATGTTCTTAGCTCATAGCTCACATGGATTTGTTTGATCTTTGCCAATAATTTAAATTTCCATGAAATTTGATTGCCATATTTTGTGATTGCTTACTTCAAAAACTATCTGTGCATATAAATTGTGTGCTCTTTTTTATTGAACCGGATTCACATTAGAGATAAAATGGTTGACTATCAAATATCTGGTGACAAATGATTGACTGAGAAAATGCTTATAATCCATTTTCTGACAACTTTAATGGGACAACATTTATAAGTGGTATGAACAGATGTAACACTTGGATAATTTCTTCTTAAAGATCAGGTCAGTTATTGAGAACTTAAACACGGGGCCATACAATCACAATCTAAGCATACCTACTTATTGATGAGTCTATAGGTATGTATGCTTCTTACACTACATTGCAAAACCATCACTTTTTATTTGAAAAAAATTTAAACAGAGCTGATAAAATTCTTCTGATTTTTAATGATACTAAACAACAGACAAATTTACCGATGCACAATTAACCGATGCATTATTAAACTATATTCGCTAGTCAAATCAACTGTACTTTAATGTATATTCAATTCATATATAATTTATGTTTGTTCACTTGTCACCATACTCCTACTCCAGGATTACATGTGCATTGTATTTGTTGAAAGATGTGACAAGTCAGTTGCTTATTCCAGCATACAAAACCAAGCTTAATGTAAAGTAGGTGGCTCTATTATCATAGTAGTTATCATGTTTTCCCATTGGAATAAATATTGCTAGCTGACTTTCCCAAATGATCCTGTCCTTGCTGTTGTTTAACAGTGCACTTACTTTTTACCTTGATATAAATAATTTCTTTTTGTTCAATTTATTTTCTTTTACGATGATTCAGAAACTTTGTGTGCACACTGCATGTGAGCAGAGGATTCTCTATCACGGTATCGAGAGCTGGTTTCTACAAAGATCTTTCAAGCACTTTGTTTATGAATAAATAAAGATAGAAAGAATGGATATTGCTTTTTAGCCTCACTTTGTGATAAATGTTCCAGTTAACTTGTAGATGACTCCATTTTCCAGTCTTTTGCTAGTCTAGGTGCTAGACATTGTTATCGTTTGGATGCGTGATAATCCCTACCCACGATCTGCTAGCTGCCTAGCCACGCATGCACAACTTGACTTTGATAACAACGTCTAGGTTATCTCTGAATTTTTCCCCCGGGGGAAACTAGTGCGCGTGCACGACAATTTGTTTTTCACGCACGCGCACACATGCCACGAAATTGTACAATAGCCTGGTAGTTGCCTAGTTACGCTACTGGCTGGAAGTTTCAGACTAGCGTTGTTGCAATTTTGCGCAAAATAATGCTGGTGGAGCAGCTAGTAGGCGCGGCGAGCGGTGCAGTACATGTACTGTACATGCTTATACGGTGAGGCTCGACTTTGTCGGCAAAGCACTAGCATGACAACTGACTTCATCGTTACTGCCACGAGTGTCACCATTCTGTTTGGCATTCAGGAAATCTACGATGATAGGTGTTGATTGGAAGATAATGCTCTTCCTAAACCCAGTTGGCAGGTTGACAAAAACGTCGTGGCCTCCAACTATCTGACGAAGAGCGGCTATTTGTTGATCTCTCAGTTTTGCTATACCCAACGTTTTTGCTGCGAATTTGACAGCCTCATTGAAAGATGACTGTTCGGCCATTTCCATGACTGTGATGTACAATGCACATGTACACAATACTGTGATTCAATATCTGTGTACTGTAGGTGCACGTCAGGCAGCATGGTAAGTCCGGGGATCAAACATATGAATATGCAAAGTTTGAATAATTATGCAATGTATATATACGCATTCAGCATTACATTAGACAGAGTAAATGCGTGCACATAAGGAAAATATTCAGAGATCACCTAGACGTTGCTATCGATTATCGCGCATCCAAATGGTAACAACGTCTAGCACCTAGACTAGTCTTTTGCTTAAAGATGCCCTTTACTGAGAAAACAAGAGTGGGAATAATTGCACCGTGTCACCTAAAGCCTGGTGTCCGTATGGTCATTTGTAACACAGATGAAACGCACAACATGAAGACGCAGACATGAACTGAAGAGATTGTGCATAGCGTCATTCCACACAAAAATGGAAACAAAAGGCACCCGAAATCCCGTGATTTTTTGCAATAAACGTGCTTTCAGATGGACTTTATCACCTCATGATGCCAAACCTCTGCTCCAGTTTCATGCATATCATTGATAGTCAGCTATTTCGTTTATTGCTGGGGTCTAATATTTAAGCATTAAGGAGAAAATGGGCAAACCTTATGGACCTAAGCGAGAGGGACATCATTGCACGCTGGCCATGCCAGCATCCGTGTTTGTATTGGGATACCATGGCTACTTGACGCAGACAGTCAGCAAAGTTGAACCTGGCTCAACTTTGCCAATTGTTCGCAGACTGATTTGCGTTTGTCTGCGTTGTTGGCGACACCTCTGTTTGACATGTTCCATATGTCAGCGTTGCAACTTGTGTCTTGATTGCGTTGCTCTCTGCATTTCTCACATCAATATGGAAACCAGACTTTACACTTATCAATCTGGCAAGAACTAACTTCAAGAATTTTTTATTTTTTCCTAAATTCAACAACACCTTTGACATTCTTCTTGTAACTTAAATTGCTATTTGTACAAAGAATAAAATATGCAGGTACTGTAAATTTCATTCTCTTGGGGGGACCAATTCTTTTATTAATGTCTGAAACAATCTGCAAAGATGTCTGCTTTCTAAGGTCTAATTCCCAAAGAATAATGGCCATGTCATTAGGCCTGAATTACTTTATTCATAATTAATGTTAATAATTCAAAATATCCCTTGGACATTTCTTTCAATCGTATTAGAAATGTATAAAATTTGAGAAAACATAGCCAGTATAATTATTTACAACTAACTGCCTCAAATGATGAGATTGGTGCAAGTCTATTATTATGGAGATTGGGGCAAAGTGCTTGTTTGACTCTGAAAAAATTAGGCAATTTTCAATGAAAAAGCATCTTCACACACTTTCGGCCACTGCAGCAGTGACAAATGGGAACCCAGCAATAGATATCCCTGGATAAGCAGTGCTAAAAATAATTGTTCAAAGGATAGAGAGTAGGTGTTCAGAGACATTGTGGAGAATAATTTACAAAGTATGAAAAGATTACATTTTTCATTAAAATAATTAAAACATATTGAAAGTGACAACAATTTTCATACTTTTTGATTATAAAACTAATATGAGGCCTAAGTACTGATTTAATGGGTGAAAATTGCAAATTGATGGCTTACTGGCAATGCAAAACACAACATTTCAGAAGCTCCAGTAACAGAATTACCACGAGAAGATAGGAACTCAGTACACTGGTACCTGGACGGGTAAATAAATCAAATTTTCTTGACAAAGTATAAACAATCAGATGAAACATTGCACTGCCACCCGAATGTGAATTCCACAGAGCATGAAACTTTTGAAGCATTCCAAGTCGCAATACAATGGCAGTTGTTGACCAAACAAAAGAGGGCAGTTCAACAGAAAGTAATCACTCATAGGCCTAGAGCTCTTCTGTGCTTGTACTGGGAAAGGCGTCCATGTATTCTGCAGAATACAGGCTCATTCAGGACTCCAATGAAAAGGGGGTCTTTGAAAAGGATAAGAAAATGGAGTCAGTGACATCACCATGCCCTGCTTTTCAATCTGATATTTTAGCTACAATTGCAGACCTGCCAACATGCCCTACTCCTTCCTGAGGTCAGGCATTACCGCACAATAGATTAATCATTTAAATGAACTGAAGGCTCATTTCAAATACATTTTAATTTTAATCTGTTGTGTGGTAATGCCTGACCTCAGGAAGGAGTACGGCAAGGTTGGTAGGTCTGCAATTGTACAGAGGAGAAGTCTACGCCCATGTGTATGTATGGTGCCAATACATTTATGTTATCTTCAATTTGAACAAAGGCTAAAGGCTATCTTGTTGAAGGACTTACATCATCCTAAATTGTAGTTGAACTTAATACTGAGCTGCTGGAAATAAAAGACGTACAGAAAACCTTGTAATTTTTCGAATCTACTCTTGACAAAAAACCTCATTTCAGACTTCCAACATGGACCCTTTGATTATTGCCATTCACCAATGATCCAGACAATCCAAGTAGAAAACAGCACTGTCAACTGAGGGCTAATTTCTTGATATTAGATTCATCTTTAGTCAGAGGCGACTCCTGACCCAAGACATTACGAATGTAATTAACATTTCTTTTACCTGTGCATTATGTCCACACTGTAGCACAAAATATTGAATCAAACGAGGGTTAAATTTACAGGACAAAGACCCTGTTCTGTCGTACTATCTTGGATATCTCCTTTTCAAGGGCAGGAGCAGACTATCACACAAAAGATATGCAATATTCATATCACATCAATGTACTTCATATCCGATGCACAAGGTAATTATCTTGCAAACAGAGGCTTACTCAGATGCTCAGAGCTAAGCTTGTGAACATCCACAGTAATGTCACTTAGGGAGTTCTAGCCAGGATAAAATTAAAGGATAGGGGCATCTGACAGCGATGGCAGATGGGGAAAAGGGTAAGAAGGGGTTAATGAATATTATTTGACACCAGAGGGCGCTGTCCAGTCCCCTACTATTTAAGCTACAATGTGAATGCAAAGCTACACTAGTGAATAACCAAATAAGTTGTGCTTCCAATTACATGATGTTAAAACAAGCTAAAAGCAAGTCCACAAACATGTAGGTACATGTATGTCTGCAGTAGCTGTAGACAAATTTTGTTTTCAGATAACTCTCACTAGCTTCTGTAGTCAAACCTGTCAAAGAAGTTTTTCATCCCCCATACATGTTTGCTCCCTGAAGTAGAGTCATAAAATAATACCTAACGCTAGCAAACCCCTCAAAGCTGTTGAACATGATACAACAAAAGAATACACCCAGCAGGGAGGTGAAAATATGATACAGTATGACCATGCAGGGGTTGCCAAATACATGTATACTGGCCACAAAGTGTGCGGACTGTCAACAATCTTATGAAAAATTGCCCTTGTAAACCAGTACAAAACATCACAATGAAGGTATATAAAAAAGGAAAAGTCATAAACAGAGAGGAGGACCTAGTTTTGTGAACTACATCAGAGATTTCGAACATTTCAATGTGACACTATTTAAAAAGTATGAACAAGTTACGCATAGCCAGCTTTGCCATGCCATTGAGGCAGTGCAGGTGGATCCTCAGTTGTAGTCTTGTTCCTGGTGTGTCTACTGTTACAGTTCTTGTTATTATAGTTTCAGTGACATGGAAGGAACCATTACTGTGTGTGTCGCCACCATCTTTAAGTCCCAAATTTTCTAAAAGTGATGATCCCAGTTTAAAGAACTTAACTTTCAAGACAGAACTGATGACGGAAACAAAAAAAATTCATTTATTGATTGTATTCACAAAAATTAGACTGTTAAAAATATTAAAAAGATCTGGAGTCTTGAATCAAGGTCCTCAGTTTCAATATTGTTTAGGAGTTTCACCTTCTACTTCAGTATTTTCCTCAACTAGTTCAATTTATCAAGCTGTATTAGAAAATCACCATTTTCTGTAAGTACATGTACATACAACATTGCAAATCAACAAATGCACCAAACCCTAGAATATCCAAATTTAACCATGACTCGGAGTTTCAATTCAATAAATTTCATTTAATTCCAGGTTAAATTCAATGGGATATAAACACTTTTGATGACAATGTTTACTACGACTAACAATTCAAAAATCAATAAAACTTTATCTTTATCCCAGTAAAATCTCAGTTATTTCAATTTTAAATTTATACAATTATTTGGGCACTTTCCTCAAATGACTGTCTTGTCTTTGTGGTATGGTTTCAGCCGATAGATCAGGATCATTTTGCATGGGACACACTCTGTGCAGCCAGACATCATGGTCTTTTTGTCGTGCGTATAGCTGATGAAGGCATCCCGAAGGCGCTCTTCTTGGGTGAGCTGTGCGAAGAATAACAATCCCAAGGAGGATAGCACAAACAACACAAGACGTTCTGAAGTCAACCATCAAGTCGTGCTGGATTAATTCAGAGAAATGGGAGTCAGAGGCCAAGAACCAGTCTCACTCGCATAACACCTGCCATGAAGACCCCGCACACTTCAAGAACAACAGGACAGCCCACTTGGGGGCATGGCGTGAAGCGTGACATAGAGCTGCCTATCATCAGCCCCCTTCATCATCAGGGTTACAAAATCAACATTTATGCCTGGACTTTGCCAAGATCTGCGCTTTGCGCATAGGACTGGTCAGTCATTGTAGACACAAACACCCACCACGTAGCAGCAGCAGAAAGAGAAGAGATTCGTCGAGGACGACGACTCAGTCTACTAATATAAATAGTCATGAACCAAACATGTACTGGTACTGTGTGTTTCCAGCCATGGTTAGGTCTTAATCTTACGTCTTGGAAGGCTGAGTGTTGCTATATGCCAAACTGGCAGATTAGGCCGCATTGATGGCAGCTTTCACCAATCTGCCAACAAAAACCTGCTGCATCAGGCATCTCCAGGCAAGATGACTTTAATCTCAGTTACACTCAGCTCCACCCCCATACACTTAAAATTTTGGTTTGTCTTCCTTCTCTGTCAGAGAACATTCTGATCAGTAAATGCACATGCAACCCTTGTTGACTGCAACCAACATTCTTTCACACAATGTTCACAAAAACAGTTATAAACGGACATCAATAACCATGGCCACGGACAATAAATTTATGTAATACAACACACGGTGTCCGGGCAGGTTCAACGCGATGTACACCTTAATTTTGAATGGTTAAAGGTTGTTTGTGATTTTTATAAAATTTCTTGATTTAAATTATTATTTGATTTATCTATTTTGTGACAGAAGTGACAGAACAAAATTAACATGCAGACAGCTAAATTGCTTGCTTTGGAATTAATAATGAAGCCAACCTCTCTTCAAATTGAAAGAAAATCTGATACATTAAAAAAACTGCCAACCCTGCTTGGATCATTCCATCGTTCAATCACTGAATAATTTGACTTAAAACAAAACAGACAGGCTGCCTGTATAGTCTGATGTGCATACAAATAGGCTGATACACCAGACGAGATGGCTCCAAATCCATGCTTTGATTTTCCTCTCTCTAAAGGGTACATTAGCCCCTTAACCACTCCCTGCCGGAAATTCCAGATCCGGACACGTATGCTTTATATGTGTGGCCGGGGTCTCCGAACTTGGACAAAGGGAACAGGGCCTTGTAACAAAAGACCAGGCTGCTGGGAATTCCCGACATATTTTCACTCTCAAAAGTGGAGATAATCCAGCCTTGTTTTGAAACAGTATACTGAAGTTTGGGGAATTTAGGGCGAGCAGATTTCCACCGGGGACAAAAGCGCTCCACCACTGCAGCGATGAGCCACACAGCACCGCTACATGCTAATCTAGCCCTTATTGAAATGAGGTCAGCAGCACAATAGGCTGGTTCGTGGACAAAAGAAAGTTATATAACACCGCACAATCTGGGCTCTTTTTACAAGGTTGCAGGCCTGGCTGATATACTCAGGTGTCAATAGATTTTGTCTGTCAGGCTAGAGTGGACACCAGACAGTCCTTCATGTGTTTGTAAATGTCCAGTAAATGAAGATAGGAATTTTAAAGAATTTTGAAAACAGAAAATTGATAAATATCCCAGCCCAGCATCATCAACATTGATAAATGCCCCAGCAGGAAGTGGTTCACAAACTGTAACCAGGAAGAGACAAAACGGCTTACCTGTAGCATCAGTACTGGAAAGACTCAACACCCTGCAACCCAGCATAAACACAGATTTGTCATCCAGACTTGCAGCTTGTTTACACTGGTTCTGAGATTGCTTGTAAGCCTGAAACAGTCTGAATATATCACAACACATTGACAGATGACTGACAAGCTGAAGATATGTCTTGTTGTGCTTAGGGCCAGGAGACAAGGCCAGATGATGCAGGAGACTGCATATGCCATCAACGTCCACAAGCCTTACAACCAAAAAAAGAGAAGGTAGAAAGTTCAGTTAATAAACAGCAACTTCACCAAATTTCCCGTCGCTGGAAAACACCGTTTAAATGACATAACAGAAACTCCATATAAACTATCTGTTGGTCAATGAGAACATCCGTTGTTTGACAAAAATTAACACTTAAAACTATGACAAGGAAAATGCTTCACCTGATCAAAGTACTGAGAATAGATTCCCTGTCAATAGAGACAACAGTGTCTTGAGGAGATAGAGCTAACAGATTATGCAGGAGACGGCAAATGGAAGATACTAGACTTGGGGTAACTACACTGACATAACGTCCACTAGTGTTTGGTATGGTCAGTGCACCTCTTGCAGACTGGGATGAACTGGACTTACTTGAGCCTGTAAGAATTCAAAAGAACTTCAGCTGACAGTTATCTGGGCTAATAAAACCAAAAGCTGTAAAAATTAAATGCCACCCTCTATGAAATCTGAAATGATTCGGAACATTCCAATGTCCAAGAGGCATGTCAATGCTTCACAGTACATTTGATAGATCTTACACTGGTCTGTACACACACACTAATAGTCTTGTAATGAACTAGCTTTCAGGGATGTGGCTACTATCAAACGTTATCATGATTTCATTTGTACATAGTGTCTCTTTATAGTGGAGTTCTATCTGGAGAAACTCTAGTGATTGCTGTTTTGAGAGTAGACAGTGTGGCAGTACTGCATGAGTTCTAAACTGAGAGACTTGTCTTTTGATATTGTCTTTCCCTGTATCTCCTTCAAAATTACCATTTTATTCTAAACTCGTCAGATATAAAAAGCCCTGCAACTGATGTGATTAATGCATTATTTAGTCAGTTACTCTGGCAACATCCTTCATTTTGATTGATAAAAAATCTGGATGGACATTCCACTTTCATTCAGGAGGTGCTTAGAGCACATATCCAAACTAGTACATCTAAACTATAAAACTTTCATGCATTAAACTTCTTCAGAAAGATGGACAGACCAGGTGAAAATTATCAAACATTATGTTTTGAAAAGGTGAGTAAATTCCTCCCCCCACAGAAATGTGGGTGAGCTCTGCAATTAAATACCTCCCCCAAACAGTTGCTAGATAAGCAAATTCCTTTGTGTCTGATTCTATTTGCTAAAATTCTGATCAACTGTGTGCTTTCTAGTCCCATGATGCATAGCGGAATGGCCACCATGTTTGTGTTTCTTTTCTGGTATTAGAACCGTCCGAGCCAAAAGTGGGGAAGGATAGGAGGGAGCCTACTGTTTGGGGTAGGTATTCAATAGCAGACCTCACCCACATTTCTGTGGTGGAGGAGTGCTACCCCATCCTACCCCAAACAGTTGCTAAATATGTAAAATAGCACCGTTCCCATGGCAGGGGGTGCTGCAAGGACGCACTACATAAAAAAGAATTTGGCCAGTCTGGGTTGGCAAATCTGATGGTCAAAACTCTTCACCTGGCTATAGTGTCTCTGGTCGCAGCTCGGTAAGGCTTTATGGTAGTTATGAAAAGCTGTGATGTCATACCTCTGAGCTTTCTCGTTTTGGCTAGGGACCATTCAATTTTTCACATCGGGCACCATGGCTTGTCATCTGGGGTCCAAGTGTGCTTATTAATGTCTGGTACAAATATATCAGGAGGGTGGAAGGAGACCAACTGGTTCTTAGTGAGGCCATGGGATGGCCGGGATGAGACGAACACCATGGGGTTCCCATTGGATATGGCCATCAGCAATGGACAAGGCTTTCAGTTCGCTGCCTCTGCCTGAGGTAGTAACTGCCAGTAGAAATACCAGTTTCACCGTCGAGTTGATTAACGATGCTTTACTGAGAGGGGGGACCTGCATGCAGTTAAAGGACAGCTGATGCAGAACACTGGCAGTTGGGTGTTCTCATCAGAGGCAAATAGGTTGATATTCAGCTTCTCCACTTCGGCAAAGATCTGTTCGAACACACTGGCATGAAGAGTCCACTCTGTCGGATGTATCTTCCCCCAAGAGAAGGCATCTACAATGGAGTTGTTGATGCTGGGGATGTGGGTCACCATGCTTGAAGTGGTGGTAGGGAAGCCCATCAGCCCAGATGACAGGCGTCCGTAGTTATAATTATTTCTGCTTTTGAAGGTAATTGGCAATGATCTTTGCAGAAAAGTTTCGACGACCTCCCTGGAAAGCTGGAAATAAGTTGATAGGGGGAGTATGGGTGCCATCGCTTCACACTGGCAAGAACCTTAAACATGACATGAGCGGTCAAGCAGGAGCTCCAGAGAGAGTAGAGCTGATGCCTCCAATCTGGTAGGGTGACGGTTGAAGGAAGCATGTGACAAGGTCTCAGCCATGAGGGGTTGGAAGGCAGGCCTAGAATCTGGATCATATCTTTTTGGTGAAGACCATAAAGATGAGTAAGGTTGGCTGCAGAGGTAATGTCTTTGTCTTTGGAAGACGTATGGTCGGCGGAATAAGAGATGTCATGTGTGGCAGAGTGACCAGGAGCCGGAGCAGGATGTGATCTTTAGTCCAAACAGGCCGGGTAGGTTGCAGGGACAATGCTGTCATGAGAATATTGGACCTTTGGAAGCAGATGTGGATGTGGATCGAGTTCTGTGGGTAGAGGATCTGGATCCGGAGCAGTTGCTGGGGGTGTAGAGTTAGACTAAAAGCGGCTGGCTATTGAGGGCAGCATCTACGAGAGTGTATGGACCGCTGACATGATGTCAGCTGAAGAAACATCCTGCTGTGAGGAGGAGCGAGACTTCTTATGCTTGGACCCTATGAAAGAAGGCGAAGAATGCTTGCGTTTCTTGCGCACGGGTGCAATGGTCGTACAGCCAGTTGGTGAGACTTGAAAAGCCGGGGCGTCGGAGGCTTGTTCTGGCTGCAGACCAGGTACAGCTAAAGAGGACTGGAGAACCGCCAGGGTGGAATCAGTCTTTACGGAAAGACCCAGAAGGTAGCTGGAAGACGGTGTTCAGAAGCTGCGACGGCGTAGAAGGCTAGTGGGTTCTGCTGCCTCGGGTACTGCTGTGCCTACATGGTCCAGCGTTGTCTGTGCAGGGGCTGCCCTGGATGGCAATGGGGTATTGGGAGTAGTGTCCATGTCACACCCAGTTGAAAAGACGCTGAAAAGACGTCTGAAGATGGCAGCACCTGGTGTGGGGCGGTCGGCACAGCCAGTGCAGGAGGCATAGGGCTGTCCCGGCTTGTGGCCTTGTGAGTCACACCGGTGAGTTGGTGTGGACTATGGTAGGCACTGGTCGAGGAGAGATCGCAACTGGCTGACATTGCTCGGCAGGAATGCTTGGGAACTGGGTTCATGGTGTTGGTGTGCCCAGACCCAGCTTGCGGGGGGAGAATTCAACCTTGAGTGCAGGACCACTCTGCACTATTATTGACTGTGATGCTTCGGTTGTTAAGTTGGGGAACTGAGCATTCGGATATCACACACACTACAGCTCAGACCCTTGAAGCGTGGTGTGGGCTAACCCAGAACTGGACAGAGGGTGGAACTGCCATCAGCAATTAGAGAAGAATCACAACTATAGCATAGAATGCCACTCAATCGTCCACAGACTGACTCCTGTCGGTCTATAGGGGAGAGTGGGGGACCGAGGAATCAGATTGCATGCACCACCTTGCGGAACCCCTGACAATCCCAGGGTTGCCCCGTCGACCCTATGTATATCGCTTCGTATTACAGCAATGTAGAGTCAACATGTAAACCTATGAGATGCATACACATAAGACAAGAGAAAATTTCTATAAAAACTAGAAAATACACACATCAAACAAGAAAATATATCAAAATATTGAATGTGCATTTATGACAATACATTACTGTTGATTAAACTAACACAGGAATGTGGTAGCGAAATAGAAACTCGAAAGCTCGAAGATGCCAAAATTGGCACATCCGTTAAGAATCAAGCTAAGGAAAAAAGGACAAACATGAGTGCCGCTCCGCTATGAATCATGGGTTGAGAGGGCGCATTACAGTTGATCAGAATTTTAGCAAATAGAATCAGACGCAAAGAAATTTGCGTATTTTCGCAACTTTTTGGGGTAGGATGAAAGCAGAAGACTATTATTTATGGGAGCTTCCCTTGTTAGCATCATTTATATTTACCAACTAACAGATGATTGAAAAGAATGGTTAAGATGCTGGTTTTTAAAACCTACTTCCCTTATAAGGAAATAAACGAAAATCCTCAAAGACAGACAGGCTACATGTAAACTGTAGCTTTTTGTAACTGGCAAGTTAACCTTTCCTTCCCAAGTGTTGTATGTTTGAAATGATCAAAGAAAGAAAGTAGCAAACTGTCAGACCTTTCATCTTTTTTATCAACTCAACAGTTTTACTCTTTCTTGGCCAGCTACTGGCAAACAATTACTTTAAAAACAGATCTATTTAATGAATATCTTACGCACACAACTACTTGGCTGGAAATTTTGTCTTATTTCTAGAAATGACTTTTTCCAGGGGGAAATGCATTACACTCAACAGAATCATACTGATGTCATACTAGCTGGATGGAATTTGGGTGAGAATCCCTAACAGTCCCAAATCCTATGATTTCAATATGATTTACATACATCCTGGGGGTTAGGGTTAATGTACTGAAAAAGAGAAATAAATATAAAGTTGTTCAAAAAATCTTAACTAAATTTACGGTAACTACAAACTGTTTCAAAAGTTATGAAATTACTAATTAAAATGTGTAACAAAACAACTGCATATACACATGACCTACCATTCCAAAACCAGGCTGAAGTGGATAATTTTGATGTTTGACCATTTCTCTCTTCCGCTATTTATTTTCATACTTCAGATCTACAGTGCAATTTTGTCAGTGGAAAGCTTTGGTAGTTACAGGCAGTAAAGGTTGTGAAATTTGCATTGTTCATAGACTGGTGTCATTTTCCAAATTGCTAAGGCGGGATGTCCTTCCGTGGCCGGTTGATATACCGGCCGGGCATGCCCGGCCGTTTTCTGGCCGCTTTGATCCTCAGCCGGTAGAAACGGCCTCTCTGGCCGGTACGAAGCCTGTCTGCTCTGGTACATACGCCGGCACTTCAAAGGCACACAGCAAAAGATCTGCGGTTAGCATAGGGACCGATCACTGGCCAACCTCCAGAGTTGAACAAAAGCCTGCTGTAAGTGGATTAGGCCTTGTGTCGAGTGAACAAGACGTCAAGCTCAGTTTCCAGATCTCAGCCCTTTATACCAGGGAGCATTATACGCCGTTTCTCCTCTTTTGCAGGAATGGTTTTCTGAAATCTCTGTATGTTTTTATGTATCAACTTTTTGCCATTTTACTTTATAATACTCATACTCATAGGGGCCCAGAAGTCCACAAAAAAGTATAAATCTAACCAAGATGGGAATGGTAAAACAAAAGTGAGACCCATTCCTATAATAACCGCGAAAAAACAAAAGCAGTCATGAGGAAAACGACAGTAATAAAGGTTGTGCAATGTACACGCTGTGGAGTATCACGATGCAATTGCCAACAACTATATAATGTGGCCCTTTTCTAAACCTTGGCTTTATTCAAGCTCGGTGAAAACCAAATGTGTGCACACATGTACACGCCCAGGCTCCAATATCTCCAGCTTCTTCGGGATTTGGAAACAACACCGTACTGGTTCCCACCGCCAGTGTCCGCTGCCGTGTTTTCATGTTAAGTCGGCTGCAAGTACCAACGATCCCACCATTAATACCGAAAGGAATGTCTCGTTCTTAGGAATTACTTGTATTTTATTACTCGGCATTTGATACACTGTAGTATAAAATCTAAAAACTTAGTCATCATAATCATACACCTGCAAAAAGACTCAGTTAATTGAAGTTAACCAGCCCCTACTCAAGTTCTTTTGTTGCCTGTGGATGAAGATAAGCGGATTAAACCCTCCCTTACACCCCTATTGTTGGACCCCAGAAGTCAGTGTGTGGTTATCAGTCAAGAACACGAAAGATCTCACAGCAGGTACAGTGCATGAGTCACAGACTCGGCCGGTAGATCAACCGGCCGAGGAAGGATGTCCCACCTAAGAAGCCCTTGGCCTGGTTTTGGAATGGTGAGTAAGATATTAACATACCTTGGTTGGATAGTAGGGTCAGCAATGAGCTAGCAGACAGCCCAAAACTATCTGCTGAAGCTGAAAATACCTGTAGCATAAAGAATAACACATAAATTTGATGTATTACGTATTGTACATATAAGCAAAGGAGCCCATTGGAAAGAAACCATGATGGACCGGTTGTTCTGTTGAATGCAGAGAAAGAAATAGTTCACTGGATTATTACCTTTGGTCTTTCCTTTAGAGAGTGAACTGTACTTTCAAAGGGAATGAAACAGATGATGAATATAAAGTTTACTTTAGAGGTGTTTCTTTGCTAGAAAATCAAAGAGTACAGCTGTTGCTATTAATTCCCCTCTCCCAACATGTGGAAAGGGTCTACTAGCGAATGCTCACCCGTAGAGAGCCACTAACTATGAATATTTCCCTAGAAGGCATGATACATTCACTAAGAGTTCACACATCAGACTACTCACAATGCCCTGCATCATGCCCACCATTTTATCTTCTCTTTTCTCAAGAGCTATGGCAGGAGTCTGCATGGAGTCTCCCTGTCAGGAGGGAAGGACGCTCTACGGGTAAGCAGTTGCTAGTAGACTCTTCCCACATGTCTGTGGGTGGAGTCCACAGCACCTATCTTACCCATAGGGCCACTACCTATGCAGAATAATACCAGGAAGTGGGTGTAAGATGCTTCTGTGTGCTGTAGGAGGGGGTTAGCAAGGGTTAATGATTGAACGGGTCATTATGAATATGCATCAATGATCAGGATTGTGGTAATGTGGGTAAGCTAAGAGAGATAAACATGGGCTTACCATAACCCTGTCTTCTGTCTAGTGAGGATGCTGAGGGGTGGCATGTTTAGTGCTTGAACTGGGCACCATTTCTTATCTTCCAGTACAGATAAGAGCAATTGAATATCTGGAACAAAGATATCGGCAGGAGTGAAGGAGTTTGATTGGGTCTTTGTAGGAACAAGGTGTGAAGAACCAATCTCACTCCGTGTGGTTCCCAGTGAATATGTTCAGGATCAATTGATAAGGCTTGTGGTTCTCTCAGTTGTCGGGATGAAGCAACTGCTAGTTGAAAGGCCAATTTGGCTGATAAGTTAACTAAAGATGTCTGTCCCAAGGGTTCATCAGGAGAATGTAAAAGCTTCCAAAGTACCTGAGGGAGGTCTCACAAGGGAAGGAGCTGACAAGTGGGAGACTTCGTGATGAACATTCTACCGAGAAAGTGATCCTCAGCATTTTTATTAGAGATTGTTGAGCCGATCAGTAGTTCTTTGTGGTGGCTACTGTGAGGCCAGAGTTGAACAGGCAGACAAAAAACTGTAACATGAGTCAGAGTAGAATTGACCAGATCAATAGTTTTCTGTCCACACCATTTACAGTAGTGTTGAAGTCAGCTGTTGTAGATCTTTTGGGTGGATGGTTGACGAATTCACACCACCAACAAGGCAACTTCTGCTGAAAGGCTCACTCTTCAGAACGATCATTGGACAATACCAAGCATGTCAAGTAAAGACTCTCAGGAGCTGGATGAAGTATGTTCGATTTGCTTGAAACAGCATATCCGGACAATGTGGAAGTACTAGGGGCTTGTAGACTTTCTAATGAACCTTGGGAACCACGACTATCAGGGTCAGAATGGGACAATGAGAACCCTGCAATGCTTCCGTTTTATTTTTGTAAGTACCCGTGTGATCAAGGATATCAGAGGAAATGCACATGCAAACATCCCAGTCCACGAGACTGACGGGCCATCAGTGTACCATGCCTGAGTTTGGGGTGTCTGGAGCAAAAAAACAGTACTTGGTTGTTGGCTCCTGATGCAAACAGGTCTACGTTGAGAAGTTTGTTTGGAGATGCTGGGCTGTAAAGTCTATTCCGTGGGCCAAACCTGTCCCCTGGAGAGGCATCGGCCAGTGTTGTTGTTGCCCGGTACATATGTGGTTGTCAGGGTTATGCCAAATTCCTGACACCAATGAAGCATGTTTCATACAAGGAGGCAGAGTTGGACTGACCTTGTGCTCCGTCATGGCTGATGTATGCCACCACTGTAGTACTTTTGCATTTGATAAGAACTGAGTGGCATCAGAGAGCACTGAACACTGCTTGCATCTCTAAGACATTGGTATGTAAATTTTCTTGATCTGAGCCCCACTTCCATGCCATCTGGTGTGGGTGAAGTGTGGTGTCACAACAAAGACGGGAACGCATCCGTGGAAATGCCATTTAATGATTGTGGTCTGGAAAACATCTATCGGCAGGTTATGTGGAATGGATTAATCTACCACTGGAGGTGTGGTTGGAGGAAGGAATCGACCGGACCCATAAGGTACAGTGGCAGTTTGGGCCATAGTGTACAAGGAGGTGGAGCCGGAGTGGACGCATGTGGAGCTGCAGCATGATATGAGATGCATCATACTTGCCATGTGCCCCAGTACCTTCAGCCATACTGCTACTGGGGTAGAAGTCTCCCTGAGGAATAGTTGGATGCAATCTTGGAAATTTAACCCCCTGAGTGTCTATTGGAAAGGCTGTACTGGTTTTGAGGTCGAACGTGGGTGTCTGTATGGAGATTTGGTGTGATTTCTTCATGTTGACAATAAAACTCTGTTGTGTGGTCATGATCAACGTTTCCCAGAGGGCTTCGTTGGCAACCATTTTCGTGTGGCCGACAAAGAGCCAATCATCCAGACATTGGAAAACTTGTTGGTCCTGTGAAGCACTGCTCACGCAGCCTTCATAATTCTTGTGAACATCCGAGGGGAAGTCAATGGAATGAAAGGGAGTGCTGTGAATTTGTGTGGCAATCCCTTGTATTGAAATAGTAGAAACTGTTAATGTTGCAGATATGCGTCTTCAAGATCGAGGGAGTAGTACATGCTGGCATCTGGATTGAGTCGAGGATCATACAGAGTGATTCCATGTGGAAGAATTAGGGACAGATGAATACATTTAGAGATTTTAGGTTTAGGATAGGCCCCCATACTGCTGTGTCCCTTTTGAATATCAGAAAAAAAAAAGGCTGACAGGAAACAGGATGATCTGCCTCCTAATGTGACGATATGAGTTGCATTATAGGTAAGGAGGGTCTTGGTGTCCGACAGAGGGGTGCTCATGAATTCCAGAACATAGCTGAACTGAATTGTTTGGAGCATCCACTGGTCGGAGGCGGTCTGGTACCAGTACACTTAGAGAGATTGAAGGTGGTCGCCCACGAGTCTAGGAGAGGGGGTCGCCAAGGCTCTGGAAAGTTAGCACTTCCAACCCCTACAGAACCGGGAGGCTGGTATTACTGGCCACTCGGGTGGGAGGGTTGGCTTCGGTGTTGATCAGAGGTACGTGCTGTTGTTCATGTATTGGCTGAAATGGAAAACTGATGGCGAAAGGGATTCACTCAGGGAGGGCCTGGCAGGGCATCCTGCAGGAGGCTGGAAAGGTTTCAATCTGCGAGGTTTTGTCTGATCCTGGCTGGATTTTGATGCTGACTTCCAGAAATATATCCAGTCTGTGGCATCGATGCATTTTGCTTCAGCTTTCATTGCTTCCTGGAATTTGCCACAGAGGAGGTCTGGTTTCAAGACATTTTCTGGCTCCTTCAGACAGTAGGAAGAGGGCATCTAAAATGTTGCTTTGGCAAAAAGGAAGTCATGAGTGTTGAGATGCGCATGAGTTGCTCAAGAGTCAAGTGGGAGAGAGTCGAGACAGCAAAAGGCTGCAAACAGCATGCCGGCAGTAATGGTAATGTGGTTCTCACACCCTCTGACAACATATTCAGATAGCAGGAGCATGAAGGACGTGGCATGCATTTCAAACGCAAAAGGCCCAGTTGGCTTTTCTTGAGGACAGTCTCCAGTTTATTTTTGGTACGGTTAGCAAACAGATTATAGGATGAGCTGGATGCACTTCTGTTGGTGGCTAGTTTATCTTTTGCCATGTCTGGGACTAGCAGCACTGTCATGTAATCCTCAAAATCCTTCAGTGGAAAGCATAGAAAGCGTTAGCCTGCTATCAAATGCTGCCTGGTCTTTGCAATATTCTGAATATGATCAACACACAATTGGTCTAGTGGACAGACTAGGAAGGCCGTAAAGATCCTGCACGTACTTCCATGGCTGTGTGTTGTTTGAAGGATTGCTGAGAGACAGGATCAGGTTCTGATACAGTTAACTCCAAGAGGCCCAAAACATGAATCATGTCGCACTGGACCAGCTGGAACTACGTTTCCAAGGGGACAGCTTTTGCGTATCCATGGCGTCATCCCCCTCAGCATCCAAAGAACAGTTTGCTTGGGAGGGCCGTGGCAATCCCGCAGTTGCAGTTTCAGTCTGTATATTGGGATCTTGTGGCTGGTGGTGATCACCAACTCCAGGCACTGGATTTTCATCAGTCAGGAAAAAGTGAGGACGGGGGATAGAATCCGTTGGTCTGGAGAAATCCACCCAGGGTGATGTATGGCCAGTGGGGCAACACTGGAGGCGAGCTGTCCCCTAGCTGGGTCGTGTTGCACTCGAGGAACATTGGTGTGGGTTGATGGGGTGACGCTGAGGGCGAGTTGGTATACGTGTATGCTCTAAACGCACCCATCTTGCGGGGCATGATGACCCACGTTCGGGGCAAACTATCTCGCAAAGGGGATGAATTGTCCCATGGGGAAACCCGCCGCAGTCATGGCCGTGAATGCCTGAAAGGCCTGGAATAAATCAGCAGTTGACATTGATCCTGAGTGTTTGCGGTATTTGGCACGGTGCAGGAATCGGTCTGAGGACAACTCAGACATTAAGGGGTGGTGGCATTTTACAGAGAGACTTCCCTTTCTCAGCTCGGAAATTGTGCTGCTCTTTCAAGGCAGGTTCAGATACGGGAGGAACTTCCCAAGCAACAAAGAAGCATGAGTCTCCCACTAGGTGGGCTGATGAGTCTACGGTCAGGTGGTGAAATGGAGCTCGCCAGGGAATGTTTACCCACAGGAGACCCATGGGCTTGTCAAGGGGTCTTAGACACGGAGCTTGAAACCAGAGCTTGTCTTAAGACCTGGATAGGCAAAACTGCCAGGGGAGGGGGCGTGTGTCCCGCTTGCCCTTGAAGCTTACTGCTGTGGTCTGATGGTGGCGACCCTTAACGGCAAGGGCTCTCTGTCCCCTTGTCCGGGCGATGGGTGAAGTCTGCCGACCGGAGGGGGTGTTCCTAATGGATACATGTTTGAGGTTAGGACCGGGAGAGGGCAAAGAGAAGATACGAAGGTGGGTACATCGCAGAGCAAGGTGGCTAGCCTATTGTGTGAACTCTTGGTGGATGTATTGCACCCTCTAGGGAAATATGCACAGGTAGTGGATCTATGGGTAAGATGAGTGCCTTAGACTTCAGTTTTTACAATCATGCAACTGAGTGGTAAGAGCATGACGTTAATTGGTCACCTTTAGAATTTAGGCACAATGTCAAAAAGATTTCAATTGTTGCACCGCAGTGCACCCCACAGCGCTGCACAGCGCCCCGGCTAACTGACCCTTGGGGCCGCCGACCTACTTAGGGATCCTGCAGGGTACAGATCTGCATAATGCTTTCACGGATAACTACATTCTGGGTACTTGTTTGCAGCCGCGGCGTGCCGACAGAATTACAGATACTCATCCGATGTGGGCAATTTCCACTATTAAAGGCTTTTGCTTTTTGTTGAAAAAAAAAAAGCTCCTTTGAATTTTGTCCAGCATGTTTATACACAAAATCATAGAGTTGCCATGATAGTACACTTACAAGAAGGCTTTTTGGCTCAACAGTTGATACAGAAAGCCCCCACTCTCAAAATATTTTTCTGTTACTGTGTATTTTGTCTGTATTCTAAAAGGAGGCCTGCTGCATGGCATCTGTGTACACTTTTAACGGCCCTCCCAGCTTATCAAACCACGGTCATTGACCCCCCTCCTGTTCCTCCATGCTCAACACTCAACATACCAAGCAACCAGAAGTCACTGGTATTTGAGGTCTATTTCAGCTGAAAGCAGACTGAATAATTTTCAGATCTGGATGTGCGAAAATGACTGTACTCAGACCATGAAATTCAATCTGGACTTTCGATCTGCTTAAATTTCAAAGACACTGACACTTTTCTTGGTTCCCTCCCAGTTCCACTATCCCTTGCTTGGAACTTGAAAAATCCTAGACAGTGTATATACTGAATAACCACAATGACCACGTTCAATCTGTCTGCAAATATTCTCTAGGTGCTATATCTGCCCTGAGCAGGACCCTCGCTTGGAACTTAGGACTCACTTCCACAGGACTCGCTCTGTGGTCGAACGCACAATAGGGATATTTAATGAGCTAGAGACTGGTCTGGGTGCCGTGCTGCGCCACATGTAGAGGGTGGACAGGTGACTTGGAAAAATTTAAATCTTGTTGACATTGTGCCTTATCTCATTATAAAATCTTGAACATTTTTGGATTGGAACTAAATTTATATCAGAGTTTTACCAATGTCCCACCAAAGACACTTAAGGAAGGAAAACTAGCTTTTAGAAAAGTGTTTTCTTTCTAGCGTGTGTCAGATTAGCACCCAAGACTTCCCACACATACATGTACAGTCATTATAAATCAAGTTCACATATTCACAGTTTTTTCCTCACTTTTTTAACTCACCTGAGGGTCATTAATCAACTCAGTTTGCCCAACAATATCAGGACTTGTAAAGCTACTATATGACTGACAGCTACCAAGATCTAGAGAGAAGAAAAAAAGTTACTGTTGAAGCAAAGAAGAGCTGTATGGACAGCCAGGGCAAGTCAAATCATCCACAATGTTTTACTTCAAATCTACACGAGCATATATGACCAAATGGACTTTGCTCTCACACCATTTTATTACACTATCTCAGCTGCTGTGACACAATGTTCTAACCAGCTTTTTATGTAAGCGTAGAGGGTAAGATTCCGGGGGAGGGTTTCACAATTATTTATCGACAATTATTTATCAACAAGAAATTAAATACTATTTGCTCCATTTTATGTTTGTGTTTTTTCTTTTGCTATAAAAAAATGAAAATTTCTTTCATGAATATCAATGAATATACGACAGTACACATTGCCATTCATTTGGAAGAACTAAAGCAATGAACATTTTGGGGGTAAAAAAATTATGTGCTTATTTGTTGAAAAGCTTTTATGATCTATTGTGTGTGCACCAGCAAAAAATTGTGCAATAGCAAACCACTGAAAAATATCCGAAAATAATATCACATTCAAGCATTAGAAAAGAAAATACATAAAGAAAAGAAGAAAACAAATACTTGAACTTATCCGGAATTTCAGCAGCTTTCTTTTTGACATAATTTTGATTTTAATGTTTGGAAAAGTACATGTACAGCGTGAGCCATACAATGGCATATTTTCATGACCAACAGCAATCTTGTGTGGTAATCTGGCTCATGATATCCCTGTATTGTGGGGTCAACACATCGCCGCAGCACATGCAGCACATGGTTTCTTTTTTTCCACTGTGAAGTTTGTCCACCAAATTACTTCAAAAATAGTAGGTACTGAGGACTGCCACGAGACCCATTCATGCACAGTCCAATCACTGGCTCTTTCCCATAACCACAGAAAGTGATGTCATCAGAAAACCAAAGTGAAAACAGAGCCAAAATTCTGTGACATGTCACACTGAGCCAAACACGATAGGTGAAAAGACGAGATTTGCTACATGTACATGGAGGTAAACATACCATTTAAGTGGCTGATTTTTATTTAACAGTAGATAGATTACAACAATAAAGAAATCTTGGTAAAATGATTATTTGTCTACAATAGTATACCATGAGATTGAATAAAAGGTGGGAAAATAGTCATTAAAAAATCTTGCCACAGGGCAAGTAAAGTTTAAGAGTATGTACACATTTCATGTCTGTGTTTTGTGACTCCATGAATTCTGGTAATAAATCGAAATCTGGGCAATTTGAATTTTGGACCTACCTGGTGTAGTTGCTGTAGATAGACCTGATGCAATGCTACTGGATGCTGTTGTTGATTCTTCCACTATGCTGACTGGTTGGATGGTAGCTTGACCATAGAAGTGGTTTAAGGAGGCCTTTAAGCCTTGGTATATGTTGTAATGTTCCATGAGAGCATGGAGGCCAGGTAGACCAGATAAACAGAGCTACGACAAAGAGGAAAAGCTATCAATACTTCTAGCAAGTTCACATGTATTCTGGTCATTATTATAAATTAATAAAGTGTAACCAAGTCTGACAAAAATCCATCACATACCACATCAAAAGTAAGTCACAAGTCTTGTCAGAAGAAACAGAAATGAACAAAATTAAGTGTGTTGGACTAGGCGGGATTTGGCTTGGAGTATATAATAACTCTATATCTTATCCTCATTTACAACAAAGACGCAATGCAGCCAATCCCACAAAATGAGTCTAAAGGCCACTTATTTCCTTCTGCTTTTGTTATGTTTTTTAGTTTGTAAGAGAAAGTGCCACGAAACCTTACATGAGGATAATTTTATAGAGTTGAGAGCTCCCACTGACATACATTACAGATGTTTCATGTGAAGGCCTATAACTTTAAGGTGTGCCTGGTGATTTGTAACTCTTTTTGTAGGGTCATGTTGCAAATGATAAAGAAACACGTTTTTCCTTTATATTAGACCTTTTCAGATTGTTTACACTGGAAGGCAATTCACAAAGTGAATCATCCTGTCATGTAAACACACATTCTGATACGGTAGGTAATTTCTAATAATTTACAAGTACTAAGCAGCCTTTGGCAATGAGTCGTTTTTGCTTGCAGCATGCATTACTGTTACACTGGTTCCTGCTGCTATTAAACAAGATAACTGAAAGAACAAAGACGGAGGGGCCTTGAGCCACTCTATACCTCTGGACCTGGATGTTCAGCATATCTGTGTTTAGTTTATCGCCTTTGTACTGTACTCATTTGGACCTTAAGAGTGAAAAGTGACTCCATCAGACGCACAACTATTCTTCATATTCTAAATCAATCCTATTATGTACCTGTGACTGTTGGTCATGTACAAGAGGTCCAATCCACGTTTCCTTTCTATCGTTGTGACTTTCTGAATCTCCTTCAGGAAGACGTTCACTCAGCAGATTGACAAACAACAGTGCAGCCTAGCAAAGGCAAGTAGACATGGTGAAAGTACAAGATGTGTGTACAGTTGTGGCAAGCAAAACCATGTTTTCACAATGACCATTCTTGTTTCTGTGGCTGAACGGTCAGAAGAGAAAGGTAAATAGTTTTAACCCCTGCAATAAAACATTTCCAGTCCAAGTGTAAGTTAATTTTCACAACTGTACACTGAATTTTCTACCTTCATTGAATTTACTGTTTCACAAACCAGCTTGGATGGATTGCATTACCAGGGAAAAAGTGCAAAATTATACATGTAGATGGTGCATACTGCATGCAGCACATTCCCCATTGTGCTGAACTCTCTTTTCTCTAACACCTCAGCAGAATTATAGCTTTAACAGTGAAACGGTGAGCATGGGATATAATTTCCATTCAATGGGTCATTTTTCATATCACATTTTTCCTAGTTCAGAAGTAAATACGTATGTGACTGTATCCAAAAGGTCTTTCCAACAAGAAAACACTCAAATAGAACATATACCTGACGGCGCACGATGCTGCACTCTGATTGGTCAGAAAGCACTCCCAATGCAACAGCCCACAATCCTCCAGGAAGATGCTGACAACCCTTTGTCATGGTTACACGGCCAGATTCAGATGAAGACAACACTGCAGCTATGCCCAAACCAGCTGCCCTGACCTGATAAAGACCAGCATTGTATTCAAGACATGAGACCATCACATGACTACAAAAGAGTTCAGTTTGAATTCAAGTAGCGAGCTATTAAACTAACCTGTAACAAAAGCGTTCTTCTGTCATTGTTCATCCTGCTACTTGTGACTGGTGTTGTGTCTGGTCTCATGGCTAGCCCCTTGATACATGTACTTGTAGTCTCAATTACGACAATGACCAACGCACTGACTAATGACCAAAATCAACGAAGGCCTACACCAAGCAACAATTCAAATATGCTCCACAGAATATCTCTAAACTGATTTCTGAACTTTTTCAATATGATTTTAACTTGATCAAAGTATAATAACGGTCTTACAGATTGTGGTTAACTTTTTCACTTTCGTGATCTTAGCAACAAAGAATAATCTTACACACTGACTCATGATATTCTAATGACTTTTATCACTTACGGAACGTCACAATCCTTCTTTGGCCACCACTTTTGTTACGCAATTAATGCCATGATCCTTGAATGTTCATCAAAGTGTTATAAGTCACATCAGGATATAATGGGTGGTCATCATGGTCTAATGACACACTTCGGGACTTCTATGTAGCGATCTTTGTCATGTAACACATTTGTACATGTAATTAATGTCAGGATGATCACTGTATTTGCTACCAGGTCTTACAACCCACTTCAGGATCCCCATATGGCCTTCAGGTTTTATGACTCACTTCAGGATCCCTATGTGGCCTTCGGGTTCCCCCCCCTGCAGGCCGAGTGCGGGACGAGTCCTCGAGGTCATACTTACCCAGACAGTCACTACATATGCCTATTTTCCTAGTGCTCTATTTCCTAAATAATTTATCAACAATAGTCCGCCTCCTATTGGTCCACCCAAGGCCTGGTCAGCGCCATGTTCATCGTCTTTATTTCTGAGACGCAAGGGCACCAAGCCGAAAGTGGGGAGGATGGGAGGGCTTTGACTGTCTGGGTAAGTATGACCTCGTGGACTACTCCCGCACTCAGGCTGGGAGAGTCCACCACGGTCAACTTACCAAGACAGTCACTACATATGCAGATTAGCACAGGATCTCGGTGGCGGGTCGGAGTGAGTGAGTTAAATAGTGGTAGACAACGTAGAATATGAAAGGGATTTGCCAAGAGGAGGGGTGTACATCCCGTCATCCATCTTAGCAGTGGTCTTGTTGCCCCGGAGTGGAGGACTTTAGCATTGTCTTGCTTTGGATGCTGTCTGTCTGCAAAACATCAGGCAGGTAGCATGAGGTGAAGGTAGAAGGTGACTTCCAGCATGCTGCCTTGTAAATGTCCTCCAAAATAAAACCTCAGAAGTACGTCCGCGAGGTAGAGACTGCTCTGATGTGGTGTACCTGGATGTTTCGATGGGTGATCTCATCAAATGGGGATGGCAACTGAATGTTAGTCAATGTAATTGCAGAGATGGCTCATCCGGCTACAGTGTCCCTTGATGCTGGCCGATGAGGTTTAACCAAAGTGACAAAGACCTTGAGTTTAGGATAATAAAGTGACTCCTGAGAAGGGGCAGACCCCAAGTCCCTGATGTTTGTAGGGGTGGTAGGGAGGCGCCCCATTCCCACTGAGAAGCGTTGATCGTGATGGAGAGCTGTGCAGTGGGTCTCGGGAAAGAAAGGTCTCTGGTGAGGTTGGAGCTTGACTGTCACCAGTGAAGATGCGGGATGATGAACTTCGTCACTAGTGCGGGTATGTCTATTGTGTCCTGTCTGGGGTGGAAGAGTGCCAGTAGATGTAGTTGAATTGGATACAAGAAAAGATGGCAGAAGGGAACTTGATCTACAAAACTTGCCATGAGGCCCAGGTTTCACCTCCTGGGCCTCATGGCAAGTTTTGTAGATCAAGTTCCCTTCTGCAATCTTTTCAGGATCGGGCCGGGGCCAAGTGGCAAGGAAGGAAGAGGCCGATGCAGGTGACTAAGTTTGTGACACGGTCTAGGTAGGAATCATGATGCCCCACTAAAGGTCAACAGTTGTCCCAAGGTAGGTTAGACGATGAGTGGGAGTAGCTGTGCCTTATTGTGGTTTATGATAAGTCGCGATAGACCTGACGACGCGTGTGAAAACTCTGGGAAGCGTCAATAAGCCTAAAGGAAGTGCCACAAATTCGACGGTTCTGCCAGGTTGGATCGGAATGTGCAGATATGCATCCTTCAGATCCACTTTAGCGGCCCAGGCTGGGTTTGGTAGAGACTGGGTGACTGTTCTCAAAGTTTCCATTCGGGAATGAATGGGATGAATCTGTTCAGCGGATTGAGGTTGAGGATTAGACGCCATGTGGTCGGCTCCTTCGGACTGAGGAAGAATGTTGAAACGAACCTGTTGTGGGATGGCTGAGAGACTTGGGTGATTGTTCGTTTCTGAAGGGAGCTGATTTCCGACTCCAGAGTCCAGTGTTGGTTGGAGTTCTTGGGAATCGGAGTTGAACAGAGACGTGGGTCCGATGGAGGGATGCTCTTGAACTCAAGGGAATAGTCAAAGGAGATTGTCTTGCGAACCCACCTGCCCGACATGCTGCCTGCCCGAGCCCCGTGAAAAATCACAATCAGCCTCTGACGGCCCGGACACAGGGGGCCAATAGCGAACCAACAGAGTCATCGACGACGTCCCCTGAATTGGTGGGGGACGCAGCCAGAACTCATGCTGAAAATGTGAGACCCGCTGGGAGGCTGTGGTCTTTTGAAGGAGGAGCTGTGGTGCAAGAACAGGGCACGGAAGGAGCTTGCAGAAGAGTGGGAACCCCGGCTGTGAGACGGCGCAGGCCTAGGAGGTGGAACTCAGGCTGGAGCTGGCTGATGGGGTGTCACCAGTGGCGGATTCGGGAATGAGATTCGTGCGATGCCAAAATCCGCTTGGCCTCAGATTGCAGGGTTTGGATAAATTGATCTGTAAAGAGATCTTTGCCGTAAAAGGGAGGTTTTGCCAAGTATCTATGGCCCAGGTGGGATTTCTTGCTGGAGGACCCGGAAGGAGAGGAATATGATAGCCTGTGCCTCTTGTGGCCGGGAGAGTCCATGGAAGAATTCACAGCGAGAGTAAGCTTGGCAGTAGTGTCTGCAGGTTGGTTATGTTGCAAGCCACCGAGCAGTGAGGGTTGCTTGACCTGGCTCACGGAGGTGGCTGGTGTGGAGGGCCTTGGACGGGACCTAAACCAGTGGTACTGTGGAGCTTGTGGAAGCGTTGATGGCGTAATGGACCGGGGGGGTCAGCCGTCTGGCTGTGGTGAGTGAATTGCACATTGATGGCTCTTCAACAGGGCAGGCTAGGAAGTGATGTGAAACAGCCTGTGCTTCGCCCTCTTTGGCAGTATCGTTGGATGCATGGGCTTGCCTCTGCGAGGTGTCCTCAGTGCCATACCGTCCGGTGAAATGGAAAACGGTATGACCACCTCGTAATGGTCTAGCAACCTGCACTCTCTTAGCTGGGACAATGTCTCAGAGAGCCCTTCCAACAGGGCAGCCCCAGAAAGTGATAGGGAATGGCCTGTTCTTCGCCCTCTTCTGCTTCACACCTGTCTGCTCTTCAGTTGGAGTTGTACAGAGGGTAGAGGCGTGAAGTGGGTGGTATTGATGGAGGAATGGGCTCGCCTCTCCGATGTGTCTGCAGTGCCAAACTGTCCAGTGAAACTGAAAATGGCCACAGCGCTCTCTTGGCTGGGACGAGGGCTCGAAGAACCCTATAACACATGGGGGACCAGTGCAATGTCAGCCCGGTCCTCTTGATCCCATGTGTTGCTCAGGATGGTGAGTCCCGAGATGTCGTACTGGTACTAATAAAGCTGAAGAAAATGGGGGTAATCACGGCAGGTTTACCTAGTTATTAGAAACGATACCCGGCTCTGAGTGGATGTGCCCAGTTGCTCCTACGATGAACGGTAGAGAGCCTGTAGATAAGCACAGAGACACGAGAAAAAGGGTTTTCAAACAAATATGCCAAACTGACGTCAGCTGGAATTGAACCTCTAACCGTGCAATCAGAAGCTAAAGGCCCTAAAAACTCAGTGCCATACAGTGCCATAAAGGGTGACAACTGGCCCGGGGAATAAATTATTGTAACAAGCGGGCCAGGATAGACCTGTAAAAATACTGACTTTTCATAAAAATGTGATATAATAGTGACACAAAAAGATGCAAAATGAAAGCATGATACGGTGCAATACTTGGTTGATCAGGAACACACAGATCAGGTTTAGCGAGACGGAACGCTCGATGAAATCGAGTCCTGAGGATGAAAGACACGTCGGTAAGCAAAGCGCGAAGGAATAGGACAACCACGGTGGCGACCAAGTCTGAGGTAGCCCGATAGGGGGTGCACTACGACTGATAAATTATTGAGCAAATAGCAATAGAGCACTAGGGAAATATGCATACATGTATGTAGTGACTGTATGGGTAAGTTGACTGTGGTGGACTTACCATTCACCTTAGGATCTCTGTGTGGCCATCATGTCCTGCAATTCACTTTAGGATCACTGTATGGCCTTCCAGGTCTTACGACTCACCTCAGGATCTCTGTACGGCCACTAGGCCCTGCAACTCACTTTAGGTTCCTTGTATGGCCTTCAGGTCTTTTGACTCACTTCAGGATCCCTGTATGGCCACCAGGTCCTGCAACTCACTTAAGGACCCATGAATGCCCTAAGGTCTCGTAACTCACTTCAGGGTCCCTGTGTGGTCATTATGGTCTTGCATCACCAAGGGAGGCCTATACAGCAACCATGTTCTAATTAAATGACTTACCTCTGGATCCCTGTTTGACCAAAGGGGTATTAGCCATCCTAATCCTATCTCTGCCAGTCCCTCCTGTCTTTGCCTTGTGTAAAACCACTCAGTAGACCAATTCTAAGAATACCAATGACACAGCAACACTGACAAGGTAAGCACATGACATTCAAAGCTTCATCAGATGATGGAGAATATTGAAATTCAGTATGAAATTTCCTGGCGTGGGTTTTGCCGCCTTCTTGCTGGCCGGCTGTAAAATGTTTCCATCCTTGTTTATTTCCGCTGATTTTTAACTCGAGGATCAATCTTGATAAGATTGCATCCACATTGAATCCTCTTTAGACAATTCACACAGGTGTTGCACTGACATGTTGATGAGTCTATGTCCAAAAATTGTTTGAAATCTCATAAAAAACGATGCATATAGAACATGTAAAAGGCGTGTAATAATGTACGACACAATTTCTTTGTCCTGCGTAGGGGTAGCAAGTCATGACATCATGATTGGGTGGTTGCCAGATGCTGTTTACACATGACTGAGTCCAACGCTTGGAGTGCTGTAAGCTTTGTACACAAACTACACACAGCAGACTTGCATACAAAGCTGGTTGATGCATGCAAAACGCTTCGTGCATACACAAACAACTAGAATCTACATGAGAGAAACAGAACTAGGCATGGAAGCACAAAAGAAGTAAGTACCTGACAGTAACAGTAATTGTGGAAAGAGTCCACTTTGAAAGTCTGTCTTGGAGGCATCTCGCCTCCTTCCCCTATCACTTCAGCTATCAATAGTATGAGGCTGACTTCTAGACCTTTTTGTATACATGTAAATATGTTAACATCATGCAATTCACTTTATATGTTGAGGAATCTTACTTTCTGATGTGCCCTGTTTGCCATCTCATGGGCTAAATGGCATAAACATACAGCAGCACTCTTTGTGACTCCTTTCCCCATGTAGGACATTGCAGTTCCTCCACGACCAACATGGAAAGCTGATATCACCTACAAGAATGAACTACTACTTTAGTACAATCTTGTATAACAAAAACTCCTTGTCAATTGAAAAAACAGAATGAGGCATATTTTACATGTTTTACACTATCATACCAACTTAGGATCAGCAAGTCAATGCTGTCTTTGTGAGACATGTCTGCAGACACGCTATTGTGGCTATTTAAAGTCATGTCAATTGAATAAACTTAGTAATTTTAGTATTAACAGCATGAATTGTAAGGGAGGCTTCTGGAAGGTTGAATTAGTAGGAAACTGTGCATTTACCTCTAGCAATGAATTGAGTAGGTGCTGACAGAGTGAGAGACTGTCACCATCTCTCCAATCCAAACTCCAGCCAGGTCTAAGTGATTACAAGATGAGAAAGACAATGAAATAGGCCCCCCCCTACCCAAATGCCATTCTGTAATTATGTTACAAAAGCGATATAATTTTTTCCTTTGTTGTCCCCAATCATCTAATGAGCAGTCCCACACTCTTGTAGACTGAGAACAAGCAAACTAACCAGATAACTGTGCAAAATAAACATTTACTGCTTTAAGTTAAATGAACCAGTTCAATATTTCAAAAAGATACGGTCATTTGAACAAAGTAGGTATATGGCCATGTTAATAGAGCAGATGCACTTTATTTTGACATGCACGGCTGGAATAAAGAACTGGCTCATCGCATGCTCCTAGCATCCAATATTTTTCGAGGAAATTAGACATTTGGCCTTAGTTAATGTCATGTATGTGTGTTTGATTCATATCTAGCCTTATGATTCTGCATCTACTTTTAAACCAACTCTAAGGGTAGCAAATTTTCTTTCTACAAATGCTGAGCATTGTGTGAACATCCCCAATGAATTTCAGCCCATATTTGTAAGATGAAATCAAACGCTGCCCAAATATATACACAGTGCACTGGAGAGGCCTATGAAGAGACCTATGAGGATGAAGCTTCAGATAGGCACACAACCTTTATACTTTGTGACACATTCAAATTTATGGTATTCTATAGAAGTAGTGAATATAAGCCACCTTATCCCTCTTTGGTTGTTTCAGGTTACTTTCAGACATGCAACTAGGAGACCTACTAAAAAAGAAGAAATTCCGCACTGCAGAGGACTTGTTGCAATGTTATCACTTTTTAATGGCATAAATGGAAATGGGAAGACTGCTCCGAAGAAAGTTGCATGCCTGTTTTTTGCCCTCATCAAATTTTACTGTGATAATAAGATCACATTAAATCTTACATATGGACACACAAAATGGTGTTAGGGCTACCAAAGAGATGTGTCTCTTAAATTACTGAATCAATTACCTGAGTTGTAGCATAATGTCTGATCTTACCTAGCAGTAACATGAACAAGACAATGCAATGTGTTCTCTAGTGATGGCAAATCATAGAAGTGGGCAGCATCTGCTGAGTTGAGACTCAGCAGCAACCCATGTGTCAGGCATCCACCCAAGAAGCCAGTTTTTCTTCTCCTGGAGACAATAACAAAAAATTAGTACAAACACTGATTTTGTTCAAGTTTGTATGAAGAGTTCAACAAAATTCAGCACAATATCTCTGGAGTACTACTCTTTGGTACTCATTTTCAAGGGCTAGGAAGTCATTTGTATAAAAGTAACAACAGCTTAGCTCTGTATACCGCAAAATACTTCAAATCTCCTGCTTAAATTTCAAAGTATCTGGGAGGATTAAGGTTGACAGACATGCTGCCACATGTAATTTTCACTGACATTATTATAAAAAAGTGAGTAAAACATTATTATAAAAAGTGATGTCTTAATTCTTAATTGGGGATTAATTTTATGACTGATTACAATCAACCTTGATGAAAGACACTTGTAGGGCTATATTTTCCCAGTGGTTTGAAAAGTGTACAATTGTAATAGCTTGAAGACCTCCAAACATGTTTTAGGTGTGAATCAACATGTTGCCTGTGGCTTAAGTAAAACCAACAGGCAGCTTTTCAATCAATTTCTTTTTTCATAGTTTTTCATACCCCTTATATTCCTGAATGCACTCGAATTACGGATGAAGGAAAAGATTATGTCCACTTTTGCCTTCAGATGGAAAGTAACCTACATTTGGGATGGGTTTGTACAACCGTTTACATGGATATGGATATTTTTTTCCTTCAATCTGCTACACTGCCCTCAAATACCAACATTAGTCGACTTTTCTTATATCACTTTTTTAGATTGATTTTGAAGTCCCGTGATTGTTGCATCTATAATGTGCTCCATTTTGTCGATTGTCTATTCCAATCTTTGACAAATCAATAACGTGGAAATCACTGCCGACAGTGCTAGATTTTGGGAAAGACAACTCCAGATCTTAATTCAATGACAAGAAACTGACAGCCCGTTCCCACTTGATCCACCAATTGGGGGATCTGATCTGGCAATTGTGTGTAGTGGGAATGCTAACCGTTACAAGGTGGATCAGGATCAGATCCACCTTTCTTGACCCTCCTCTGGAGCAGGATACAGAGCCCCCAATTGGTGGATCAGATCTGGCAATTGTGTGTAGTGGGAACGCTAACCGTTACAAGGTGGATCAGGATCAGATCCACCTTTCTTGACCCTCCTCTGGAGCAGGATACAGAGCCCCCAATTGGTGGATCAGATCCAGCAATTGTGTGTAGTGGGAACACTAACCGTTACAAGGTGGATCAGGATCAGATCCACCTTTCTTGATCCTCCTCTGGAGCAGGATACAGATCCCCCAATTGGTGGATCAGATCCTGCAATTGGAGGATCATGATCAGATAGGAACGCAAGTGGTGGATCTGATCCGGCAATATGACCTGTCAACATCCGTCTGTGCACGAGTGGCACAAAACGTTTGCGGTCTGATGAACAAAGAAATACATTTTTGGCGTGTAGCTCATGTGAAGTTTTTAACGTGCACAGCATGCACAATAAACAACTGCTGAACCACGGGCTAGCAAAATGTGTCACCCACATGCGCAATGCATGCATACTGCGATATGTGCCTTGCCCTTTCACAATTTTTGTTGTGCATTCGTCCGTTTAACCTTTTTCATTTGTGTAATTTCACTTGCTTTCCATTAAAAACTAATTCCGTGTTAGCGTATAGCCCGCAGCGTGTGACAGAGTATCAAAAATGGAAGCAAAGTTTGAAGAGACAACGTACTAGGCTGAACATTCGGTCCGATTCAAGGTCGTCACGTCAGTAGAACTCCGCACCCAAAACACTGCAGGGTCACACGCATGCCGCCCCAGCCAGCCATACTGCCACAGAGCGCGCGCTCAGCAAGCTAGCACATGTGCAATACTGAACTCAGTGACCTTTCGGGCTCGACATTTCCGTCCCAAAAGGTGGATCAAGCGCTAGTAGGAACGCGACTTGCGGTTTCGTTACGGTAAGATAACAATCACACCAAAAAATGCTGGATCAAGATCCACCTTTTCCCAATTCATGTAGGAACGCGCTATTAGTGATGCACGTAGGCTCGCAGACTCTAATGGAGTTAGTCTTTTGTTAAGAGATTAATTACTTCGCCCTTCTGAATAAGCTGTGCTAGGCCTGTGGATGAACTGGCCCAATTTACACAACAAAGCCGATGCACAATAACCATTCATGGTAAGCTGGGAGTCTTTTGTTTTGGGAAATGGTGGTATGCATCAAAGAGGTTGCTGCATAGCCAACTCCTTTTCGGGAAACGCTCTCTTGCAATCATTGCCCACTTGCAGTTGAAATGGGTAATGGTTTGAAAGGGGATTAAGGGCAATCATTTTCCATTCTATTTTGACTTGGGCCTTACTATGAACCAGTGTAGCCATTATGTATGTTACCAAAGTGGTTCAGCCACAAGCACTGACAGGAAAATGACAAAATTATTGCTTCCAGCCAAATTCATAAAGACATGAATTTGTGATGTCCCGAAATATGAGTATTTTCCTTCTGTAAATTCAAACAAGATAAACAACTTTCAACTTTGGGCAGCCACTTTGCCAGCTTTTGTTACCAACACTTTCAACTGTTTATCAAATGTCAAGGTGCCAGTCCGCTTTGTCACAGCTTCAAGTTGATGCGCATGCACTTTTATTCATGGTAATTTAAGTGTGAAGTATGCTTGAATTTTTCAGGTGGGCTTGCCAGATTCACAAAGACTGGATTTCAGTCAGTATAGTTTGGCTCTGAAGGATTGGCGCCCTCTACTTTTTCCACTATTTGGCTGTGCTTGCATGTGGATGTCACCTGCACAGTGTATGGCAACAATGCAAACCCAGTCTTGGACCAAGACTAGTAAATTACTAGCCCCGTTTGATACATTTTGTCATGATGGTGATGTCTTATGTAACTCCCAGCTGCTACTTTTTTCCCTTCATTATTCAAACTGACTTATTTGTTATTTGTAAATATCTACTGTATGTTCTGAGAACAATTCAATAATACTGGGTGTTTACATCCACACAAATTTTTAACCTCTTAATTACTGGGAACAACCCCCTAAAAATAACCACAATACAACCAGCAGCTTTTTAAAACATTCCCTACAAAGCATGAAACCAGAGATATATAAAAATGCAAAGGGTAATTCGTGCATTACCATAAATGAAAGCATACAACAATTTTGGTTGGTATATTGACTACTGAAATAAAGGACTTTTACACAATCTTATATAATCCTGTTATAAATACAGAGTCCCTCAACATCTCTGTTTGGTTGTTCTTCGTTTTTTGGGGGGGGGCTGAACTTTCACTAAGCAAACAAAAAAATACTTTAGTTGGAAAAAGTACAATTTGTCCAGTAGGAAAAATGTCTTACCATGCTTCACCTGACAGAGGTAGACACTGTATGTAGCACCCAAAGAAGGTTACCAGTTGTTTATGCAGAGTTCTGTCTGCTGAGGATTCAACCTCCCCATGTCTCTGATTGTCTTGTCTCTCAACTTCTCTATCCTCAGGTTTGCTGTTAGTTAGAAGTCCAATCAGGACAGACTTGGGGCTGCAGGAAACATTACCTAGCCAGTGAAGGAAGTCTGTGCAAGAAGGTTTTGGGGAAAGGGACTTCATCAAGAGTACTATGAAGGATAAAACTTCAGTTAGTAGTATCTTGTCATCCACACTGACAGGAACTACTCCAATGAATCTGTAGAGGAACAGAATAAACAAATGTGTATGTTATAACTTGTCCATATATGCTACATTTTTTACTTTCCAGAAATGTAATTTTTTAATTTCACTCATTTAATCCTAAAGCCTACAGAAGTTACACCTCAGGAACCAGAATTGTATCAAAAGATATGCTGCAGTGAAAAACTACAAGTGCTGTGTATCTCAATGTCTCAACCACAGATTTTATGTTCCAAGCTAAGAGCTTGTCACATTTTATTATTCCTACTATTTTACTATCTACTGAAAAGATCACCTCAGAGCCAAGAAATACTTAACACTAAAAAAAGTGCAACACCATAATCTCACAAATACTGGAAATTTGAATTAATGCACAACATAGGCAGGTCCTAAGAATGTTTTTCAAGTCATATATTTTGTAAAGTGTCAATTAGTTCAGATAGCGTCAATAAGTTCAGAGAGACAGACGGGCGGACGGACAGATTATTTCGTTAATCGCACAGATTGAATTGTATCAAGTCAGCAAAAAATACCACAGAAGGAAAAGAATTAGAATAATAAGTACATGTACACAGCATATCAACATTAAAATATATAAAAAGTTCAAATAATACAAATTTCCTGAGGGTTATTAGCAAAAAGGCAAGAGTTTTGCTTTAACTCTGATATTGAATGAATGCCAATATTAATGTATTAGCCGTAACTGACAATCCCAAATTAAATAATGAATTTATGCCATTAAAAGTCAGAGGCAAATATCCCTTTAAAATGCCAGAAAATTTGTAAAGATAAAAACACCCAGTAATGACTTGCAGCTATTAAATTAACATTAATCATTCAGAGACTTGATCACAAAACTAGTAGAGAAAAAATAAAAAGAACTACATGTATACCAGACTAAATTACCATTCAAAGACTGACCCAATATATAAATAATGACTTCTGAAAATAACTTCTATACAGTACTACAGATTGAAGACTCTGGAAAAAATGTCACTGCAGTAAAAGTGTGGACAGTCTTTAAAAAGTAAAACAAGTTGTGATACGAGGTTACCCTGATAAACAGCTTATAAAAATGGAAATATTTGGAACCTTAAAAAGTCAGAAAATTATTTTGTTTCAAATAACAGAGCAGCAAATCACACCTGTCAAGAGCTTTCCTGAACTCTAGCTGCAACAGAAACTCTGTGATATCTGGACGGCCCCTGTCGGTCTCGCCTACATTGTGCATCAACATGTTAGTGAGTAACCAGAGAGCCAGTCTCCACAGGCTGACCTATATAAATATCAGATAATTCACAACATCCACTCAGCATTACCTACGGGCAAGGCATCAATTTCTTGTATTTCCTTCAAAAAATTGTTATGTCAACAATCAAATCTGTTCAAATTAACTTCCAAATCATTCTCTTCCAAATCAAGTCAACTTTAAGTCATGTAACCTGCTTCAAAGTCATACCACAAGTACAAACAATTACAAGTTTGACTTGAGTCAGCAACTCAGCTGACACTCATTGAATGAGACATCCCCCCAAAAAATAAAGCGCTTTGAGGTTTTATGCTGTGCTTACCTTGACTGTGTAATGAGAGGAAGCCTGGCACACAGACTGCAGACACTGTTTTAGACTTGTAGTTGAGTGACTACACCTCAGCAACAATTTGTCTTCCGCAGTTAAAGCAATTTTAGAGTTGAAACTAGAAGTGTACCAAAACAATAGAACAAGGACAAGTTATGCTTCATTTTTGATACTTCAGAATAGATTAATTTAAATGTTAACCTCATCCAACAATATCCTTTGGCTGAAAACTTCTGAATTCATTTATACAATAACTGCGTAATTTCTTACCACATCTGCATATTTCACAGTACTTCAGGGCCCTCCCAGCGTTAATTGCTACAATATATTGTACAAAAATCAAGTTCAACTCACAGTCTCCCTTAGGAACTTCCCAGACAATGTGGATTCAGTGGTTTAACCAGTTAGCTACCCCTGGTAATATAGAATACCAGATCAGGTGCACACGTGCTCCTGCATGATCTAATTAAAAACTTACCTAAAATGACAAGCCAAAAGCTGTCATTTTGTAAGAATATAATAAAATGAATGGATTCCAATGTACTACAATTGAGCTATGGTAAGGGAACAAAGTAATTATGAAAGCAACCAATAAGAATGTGTAACCTGGAAAAAAGAC